TGGGCAGGTGCCCAGTGGCGGTGAAGCCCTTCCTTAGGTTGTCCCCCTCTGGCCGCTGGAGAATCTTACCCGTCATTGGGTCACCACATCCTTCATCACCTCCTAGAGACTTTTCTAAAATTTGGCAAAATGAAGTACAAACATTTTCTTGGGTTTGGGAGAGAAGCACTTGAGAACTATAACCCCAAAAGAGATTAAACCTTAAGACAGTACCAACATAGCAAAAAGCCAACACACTCGAGTTATTACAAACTTTTAAGACGTTCCACTTCACACACAGAAATCACAAGTGATCACACTTTTAGCTGTGACCTGTAGTGTTGATCACACTAGCTCTTTTTAACATCAAGAAGGTCTTGCAGATTAACACCAGTTAACTGCAGTTTATGACAATGGTGTTATCTTTTTTCAAACCATTGTGAAATGGTATAAATAAAGAAATACTTACTTATTATGAAAATAATTTACTTTAAAATAAAATGCTTAAGATCAAATGTGATATTTTTGTTTGTTTGTCTGTTTTTTACACTTAATTGCATGTTATTTAGAATTAAATGAAAATGTATTATAGTTTAAAGCTATATTAAATGCAGTTAGCTGAACAGTTTGCTGGGCTCTTTGATTTTGCAGGCATGACTTCATATTGGCCATTACAAGTCATCCCATTCATTGCAATACCATCTTAGTTATATATCGGCAAAGAAAGAAAAAATCTGTCACAGATGCGGTCGACGGAGCTTAACTAAACATTCTTTAATATAGACGTTAGTATCGTTTCTCCAACCCGCAGCAGATCAATGAAATGCTGCTTTATGATATTGTTAGCACATAATGAAGAAGCGATGCTCTTCACCACTGCAGATTACCAAAAACCTAAAGTATTAATAAATGAAAGGTCTTCTTTAAAGATTTTTTAAAAGGTCTGAAAGCTTTTAGATGTAAAATATCTCCATAAATGTCAAATATATCTTCCGTACAGCATCTGATTGTGGTAAACTCCAATCAAACTCCTTTTAGTGTGAACGATTAGTGATGACATGCCCAAACGGAGCATTTATGCCCATAGATTTCGCCGTTCTGCCCCTGGACAACCTCCTCCAGCCATTCTTATGAGATTACAGTGGGGAAATTATGCAATATGTCTTAAATAGCTGTCCCATTACAGTCAAGTTGCCAGACATGTGCTGTCTGTATCCATTGCTGTCCGCTGGGACATGGATGAAAGCGGCGCATCATTGACATAATTGCTCTAAATCTGATTTGACTAAAAGGCTTCTTCGTTCAGATGCTCTTCTGGGCAGATGCTGGCGGCGTGTGGCTTCGCTTCCATTAATCTACAGCTCAGTTTACGAGTTCTCCTCTTGTTCCTATTCAGATCTCCTGGTGTGATGCTGTCTGCTCGACGTGAAATGGACATTCAGTCTGTTAGCTATCTGTGTTTGACTGACTTTTTCTGTTTGAGAGAATGCTATGCATACAGTACTGGTGAAAAGTTTGGAATAATTAAGATTTTCCAATGTTTTTGAAAGAAATCACTTCTGCACACCAAGGCTGCATTTATTTGATCAAAAATACTGTAAAAATATTCTAAAATATCATTACAATGTAAAATTGCTGTTTTCTATGTGAATATATTGTAAAACGTAATTTACTGTTGTGATCAAAGCTGAATTTCCAACATCATTACTCCAGTCTTCAGTCTCACGTTTCTTCGGATATCATTATAATATAGAAACATTTCTGATTATTATCAATGTTGGAAACAGTTGTGCTGTGTAAAACACGTTTGTAGTCACGGGAAGAAGGAGGCGGGAACCGGCGAACAATTAAGATTTTAATACAATAAACAAACACAAAATGCAAGTAAAGCGGCAGCCCCTCGCGGACGACTGCCGCACACAAAACACAAAATAAAGTCCAGGCCTGGTCCTCTCTCGTCTTTCACTGTCGTCACTCCTCCTTTTATCCTTCCGGAGCTCCTCCGTGGGACTCGAGACCGGTGAGTGGTCCAGGTGTCGCTCATCATCAATTACTCCCCCGGCCTCGCTCCGTTCCCACGCCTCTCGGCCCCGCCCCCACTCGTCACATGCTGCTTCATATTTTTTCTGGAAACTGTGCTAAACTATATGCTTTTCTGCTCTCACATGCACAATGGTGGAATTGACACTTTTTTAAGTTGTTTAATTACATATATCAATTATGAAAGTATTATGGAGCCTAACATAGTTTTATGTGAGGGTTTTGTCTGTGACAGCAGCTCAAACAGGAACACCATCATTTTATTTTTAGTGAGTGTTCTTGAGATATGATGAAAACATTGCTGTTGTCATACTGTGTGTATATATATATATATATATATATATATATATATATAT